TATTTTAAATCATTCGATTTTTTTCATTTCAGAGTAATTAATTTCAGATTAAATTAAACTTGATGATGGAAACAGTTGAAATCATAAATTCAAAAATACATTAAGATCTAGGGTTGTGTAGTAGATAAGACTTCAAATTTAACAAACATTAAATTATAAAGAATCACTAACATAAACAAACAAATAAACTGATAATTAATTTGGACCAGGGTATCTCATAACGTAAAAACGTTTATACACAGGCGTGTGTAGTCTGTACCGTACTTATAATACAAGCATGTAATGGAATGCATATGAAGACCATTTATATGCTTGATCAATTAGGTATCTTCTTTTTTTCAGACAATATTGAATGCTTTCTTTTTTTATGTTTCACGTTCATTCTAAATTCTTGATTATTCTTATCATGATAATAACTTTTAATATTATTATTATTATTATTATTAATAGTAGTCGTGATAGTAGTAGTAGGTAGTAGTAGTAGTAGTCTTAGTAGTAGTCTTAGTAGTAGTAGTAGTAGTAGTAGTAGTAGTAGTAGTAGTAGTAGTAGTAGTAGTAGTAGTAGTAGTAGTAGCAGTAGTAGTAGTAATAGTAGTAGTAATAGTAGTCTTAGTAGTAGTAGTGGTGGTAGTAGTAGTAGTAGTAGTTGTAGTAGTAGTAGTAGTAGTTGTTGTTGTTGTTGTAGTAAACGGCCGCAGTAGTGTAAATAGTAGTATTAGAAGTAATAGTAGTTGTTGTTGTAATAGTGGCGGTATAATTGTCTAGCCATTATTTAACAAAAATTTAAACAAATTATAAGAGGTGGAAAATAAGCAAACCATGCCCAAATAATTCATCATTTATTACATTTTTTTCAAACAACTGTAACTAACTTTTTAAAAAGTTATTAACATTTGAAACATCAAGATTGGTATAAACATATATCTTGACAAAGTAAAATTTGATCCTTGAAAAGTTTGTTTTCACTACTCCAGATAACAGAGAGCCGAACGTGTTTTTGTGTGTGACAAACCCCCAGAGACCGCACGTCACTTCGAATAAATTTGAAAATGCAAAACTTCATCAGCAACTCAAGCTGAACATGCCGAGCTTACAACAAAATTTTTTTTTTTGCAAATTTTGAATCATCTCAAAAACGCTGATAAAATATGATTTTCAAAATATTGTAGCTATTTAAACTAAGAAGCATAGAACTTAACATGCACATGTACATGCACAGTCAGTAATAATTTGAAGAAGGTTTAAGAAAGTAGAAATTAAATATCAGTTTGATACAAAAGAAAACCAAGAAGACCAAGAACAATAAAAATATCAACAAGACGAACACATGCAGTTGGATTGTTTCTTGAAATTATTTTCGCGTTAATGCACCAATTGTTTCATTTTAGCGTTTCATTTGTCAAGCCCAACTTAACACAAACGTAAATATTGCTCACGTGCGTGTGCATCTTCATGCTCTGCATTTTTATACATCGGCATGATGCCGGGTTGGTATACTTCATTTATGTATAAAGTTTACACAATTTCAAATTTTATTTTTAGACTTTCTAAATGTTTGTATGTTTGTGTGTCCGTCCGTTTGTATACGTTGGTTTTCAATACTTTATAAATAACTTGGGTCTGAGTGAACTGAACAAATCTTATATGTTGAAGCATTCCCATGATTCCTTCCTGTGTTATGTGATGTTTATTTATTGACGCGATTGTTACATGCAAGTTTGTATATGATTGTTTGTTTGTTTGTACTGCTGTAGCGTTTGTAACTCTTCATATAATTGTCGGTGTCCCTTATATTTCAATCTTACTGCATCGTTTCTTCTCACGATTGTTTCTCGGGTTTCTAGGTCTTCTAGTTCAAATTTGGTAACACTACGCACGGTAGTTGATAAATCTCGATAGCATTCAGAAAAAATAAAATTAAGTTAAAGCAATGATTTCAACTGATAGATATTAGCAAATAAACAAAAATAAATTAACAAATTTTTATGATTACACTATACAAGTAAAATTTTACACCAAGATATTGTTAATAAACAGATCAAATAAATGTAAAACTGCATTTTCCACAAGGAACGACAAAGACGGAGGGTTTATAATTTAGTGAGATATTAATGTTGAAAGGGTTTATATAGTAGTGAGATGTGAATGTTGAGAGAGTTATGAATATATGGCTCGTTTATAATCGGCGATTAAATATAAGCAGGTTTAGTGTGCGTGGGCTTATTGAATGATGCAATTAATCATTATTATTCTTTATTAATCTTTATAAATCTGTATTAATCATTATTAATCAATATCAGTGCGGACATGGTCAGCGGTTCTTATGAAGGTTCGTCGTCGTCATCAGCTCATCAGCTGCTTAATAGATGCCTGGTCGTTGGCATCATTTTTCATTTCCGTCATTGTCCAACTTACAATATGACAGCATTTTGATGTGCCTTATTTGTCAATGTCCTACCTGGAACGCTGCACCGTACAATCAGCATCTCCACACATCACACACGACACGCCTATCTGAGCAATATGAGACTCGTAAACAATATTCACAAACACACAACGCATACACACATGTTAATCACCTGTAAAATGCATCATACTTACGTGCTTTCATAATCATAAAACGCGATAATACGACGAAATTCTTTGCCAACTAATGAACGACAAACTCCAAATGAGTGCAAACATACACTACACATGTATACATACGTACAGTTGCTTGTTAAACAAAGAATCATTTTTTACTCAACGATTGTCAAGTTTGGACACAAATATTTTTTGCATCACTCCAAACAATAGATTTCTTATATGGTAGGTGAATTATATTTTGTCCGAAAGCCCGAAATAGCCAGCTGATTGCAGCAAGCGTCTGAGCATGTGAATTATAATTTTAGACTTAACAACTTCAATCTCATATGATTCTCATCCCTTCAAGCCAATTAATAATTATTAATTTGGCAAAAAGCGCAAAAGATATCGATAATGTTGTATGTTTAAACACCCATATACAAACTGGCACCATCGTCATCATCGTCGTCATCATCATTATCGTCATCATCATCGTCATCATCATCGTCATCATCATAATTGTCAACGCAGTTTTCACCATGGAAAACAACCTCCAAAAGACGCAAACAAGCCTCCATGAAATTAACTCTATTTGCTGCCGTACACGATGCTTCCTCTCAACACGTTACCAGCTCATGCACATCTCCATCACCTCCAACCAACGTCGACGTCATCATCACCTGATGGCGTTTCATCATCATCATTATCATTATCAGCGTTTCATCATCATCACCATCAATTTTAATTGTTATATGTTACATCGTTGTCATCATCATCATCTTTTTCACCATCTTCATCAGCATCATTCTTGCATCATCGCCGCCCTTTCATCCCATCCTGACCATTCTTCTACAACAAATTCCAAATTACCTCCAGATATCGTTTCAATGTTAACACTATCACCATCGCATCCATTCACCTTGCCATCATTTTTAAATCTCAACCACATCATCATCATATTCATCATCAACATCATTATTACCACCATCACAATAAAACTTACCATCATCATCACCATCGCACATCATCATCATCACCATCGCAATAAAACTCGTCATCATCATCGTCGTCGTCGTTCTCATTAAGGCCATCTGGATATTAGTAGAGGATGTATGTTGAATATAAATCGTGTATTTGAGGTTACTTGGTATACAGCATGCAACTATGCAATTGAATGCATCCGACCATGTGATGCCTCCTTATGTACATGCACTTCCATGCAATGACGTCACATCCTTCTCTTTCTATGCCGCTCTCACTCGAAGTCTGCCCGCGTATGTCTGTAAATTTTTTCTTTTTTTTTCATGTAAGCTCATATTTTGATATTTTTTTCAAGTTCGTTTTGAATTGTTGATTTTTATGTGTTCTTGTTTGTTAGTTCTGTTGAAATGTTGGTTTAAATGACTTTGTACTTGTTTATGTATCTATGTATGTATGTATGTTTGTTTGTATGGTTGTTTGTTTGTATGGTTGTTTGTATGCTTGTTTGTGTCGTCTAGTTTAGTTTTATGTTTGTTTCAGTTTGGATCTGTTGCACGATTAAAGTTGGAAGCAGATTTGCACGCTGCTGTTTTTGTATCCTTTCATATATTTGTTCTTTGTCAGTTTTGTTTCTATGCCTTGCTTTAACGCTCTTCCAATAACAAACTCATGCTGGTTAGATTGCGTGTTGAAGAAATATCTTGAAAAGATCGCGAACAATAACATTATTGCAATAAGTCTATATCTTTTATACGTTTCATTGTTTAATTCTAGCTTTTCCTTCAAAGTATTCAAGGTTGCCTGCTCACAATAATTTGTAACTATAAATTTTTTCTAATGACGTTAATTATTCACGCAAAACTGATGACTGTGTTGTACATATGACCTTAATAAGACGAAATCTCTCCGAGAATATATGTATGCTTGGTTTTGAGCCTTTGTTTTTATGTGTATTTGCTTTCGAGCATGGCTATTTGCGATTTCATGAATCTGTGTGTATGTGTGCGTGCGTTTGTGATTGAATGTATGTATGTGCACGCTTTTAGTTTTAATTTTATTGTTTTGTTTTATAATTTTTTTTAATATATTTCTTTTTTTAGTTGAATGTAGCCTAAATAAAAAACCCCTGAAATTCCTTCATTTAAAATTCAGAATTTTAAACGAAACTGATAAAAATAAAAAAAGGAATAAGTTTCAAAAATGATGCAGCATTTTTGAGATCAGACATGTTCAAAAATTCAGAATCTATACAGGTGGCGATAAAAAACTTAACTCAAAGTCAACTAAAAAGTTAATGGTGTCAGTCAACACGAATGTTATTAATATTAATAAACGGGTGTAAGTATTCCGTAAATTATTAAAAAATCTAATAATCATTTTTTTATTGCAATGATTATAAAAATAATAATAATAACGATCCTAACAACATTAATGTCTGTTTTATGATCATGACATTATAAAAACACGAGAAGAACATAATTGATGAGAGCACGCCTGTTTTTATGCTCCTTTTTTTTCCTAGATACAAATAACTGATTTTGTTATGCGTTACGTCAAAATTACTTTTTGAAAAAATATTTTTAATAGTTTTTTTATTGATCAATTAAAAATAATTACAAATTGTTAACTGATGATCAACCAGCTGGTGAATTCAAAACAACGATAAAAATAAAAAATTTATAAATAAAAATTAAAAAGTTGTTTTTTTTGTAAAAAAAATGGTCAGGAAAAATAAACCAAATGAACCACAAAAATATGTGAAAAATGTGAAAAATATAACCACAGATCTAGATTTCCATTGTTCCTAAATAAAAAAGACATCCCGTTCTGCAACCTTAATACCGATCTTAAAATTTTCAACAAACGATTTAAATAAGAAATCAAAAATTTATTGTCGTCATCTGCAGGTTTTAACTTAAGGTTATTATATCTCCCACCGACGCATTACATCAGGCAGTTGAATTGAAAAGGTTTAGATGGCAGCAGATGAAATTGTGTTTACGAGTGTTCGAAACATTTTAACGCCCTACCTAATTTATTTATATTCCTATCTCCATCGCTATCCCTACTTCAAATAATCTAGCGGACTTTTTTTTATAGCATCGTTAATGTTTTAACAATTCAAACAATCACATAGACTATATGAACATTCCTAAATCGGAATATTTTGAAATCGTTCGTGTCGATATGAACAAACATTTGTCATTGTTTAAATTTCAAACCTGAGTATTAAACGAACAAACACGTTAAAAAACATTGAACCTATTGCAAAATGATATGAATAATAAAAAAAAACAAAAAAAAAAGAAAAATGAATGCCAAGCACACCGTATGTTCTTTTTTAAAAAACATTCGGGACACCATGCTGCTTGCTAAAGCACGTCTCCACGTAAATGATTTCATCTAAATACTTTTATTTCTGCTCTTTCATTCACACATGTATAATAGAATATTTTTAAACTATGGAGACAGAAAATGATTAATAGAACCAAAACATTTAAAATTTTTAGTTTAAAAAATGTTGAGAATCAAATTTAAAAAAAACATACCACGTTAAGGTTTCCATTGCTGATTCGTTGTTCGTGTTGTTGTTGATGTGGTAGCTGTTTGTGATATTGTTGTTGTTGATGATGGTGATGAACTTTGTTGTGATTAGTCTGCGGAATAATTTGGTGTTGTTGTGACTCGTTGGGTGAATATTCGCTGTTTAAACCAATCGGATCCTGTTCAACTGGGAGATACTTTTTTCCAAACTTGACCGAACTACACCGAACATTTGGTACATTGCCTATATTTGATTCAACTATGAAATTGTCATCAGTTGCAGCGAGTTCTGTTGTTTCGAGGTAAGGAAGGTTCAATTTAGAATTGCAATTTTGAGACATCGTGATGGAGTCTTTGTTGGAAAACGGTCTTGTTAGTTCGTACTCACCGTCACACGTTACCGATATCAACGAAAGTCTTGTTTTATGTTTCGATTTTTGATTTTGATTTTTTCTATGTTGCCTGCAAAGAACCAAGCACACCAGGATAGAAACTATAACAACGAACGAGATGGACGTTAAGATGATGACGAAGACCAGCGTGAATGCTCCACCCAGCGTAAACAGGGATTCGTTTTTTGTCTGTTTTGAAGAACTACCATATGGCAAAGAACTATTGACCCGTATGTTCAGTTCAGCTTGGCGAAAATTTGGCGGCGTTCCAAGATCTGTGGCCTCAATGTTTAATTTAAACAAGTTGTTGTAGAGTGTCAAGTCTTTTGCAACTTTTATAGCTCCTGTGGTAGTGTCGATTTGAAAAGGAAAGTATTTCAGAGCATTTTCGTCCTCGTCATCAAGTTCTTCATTCATTTCGTCCTCGTCATCGCTATCATCATTGGATTCTATACTAACAATTCTGTATTTTATCTGACCGTTAGCATTAATATCCTTGTCGACAGCTTCAACTTTAACGATTGGTTGACCGATTGGATAGTATGACGAGACGTGCAGAGTGTTGTTGGTGGGCGTTGGGTATTTGAATTCCGGGTAATTATCATTCCTGTCAAGAATTGAACAAATCACAACTGTCGACCCAGACAGAACATCCAGATGTGCGTCAACTGAAGTCACATAAAACTTGTACAGGTTGTGCTGTTCTCTGTCAAAGATTATTCGACTGCTGATGACGCCGGTGTTGGGATGAACTGAAAAGTAGCGTGACGACTGCTGGTGGTCACTGTACATCCTGTAAGTAAACTCGTTGAACTGATTCGAATCCCTGTCGATTGCCTTCACTGTACCAATTGCAGTGCCGACGGGTTCATTTTCAAAAATGCTGAATGAGTAAGTGGAGTGAGTGAATGTTGGTTTTTCATCATTAAGGTCATCGACAATGATGGTGAGATGGGATGTACTGGTAAGAGAAGGCACACCCCTGTCTCGCGCCACCACATCCATCTCAAACACACTATTTGTTTCACGGTCTAAAGGCACAATGGCGCTTATCAAACCTCGCTCATCTATTTGAAAAAAACCTTTTGCGTGTTCGGATAACGCGTAATCAATTTTTCCATTGAGGCCTTCGTCGGCATCTTTTGCGGTCACCTGCTCGACCACTTCGCCAATAAAATTATTTTCACTGAGACTCACTTTGTACAGCGGTTTGTCAAAAATGGGAGGATTATCATTGATATCTTTGACATTGATCTCCAGCATCATTTCAGAAGTCAACGGGGGTTGGCCTCTATCGCGACAACTCAAGTTTAACATAAATACCGAGTTAAGTTCTCGATCCAACGGTCCGCTCAAAACGATTCTATATTCTCCCGCAAATGTTGTATTTTGAAGCAAAAATGTTGGAATTCCATTAACACCGCTATCATGCAAACGGCAATCAACACTTCCACTGTTTCCTTCGTCAGGATCTTTCACAGACACGTGACCTACAAAACTTCCGGTTTTAGCATCTTCCGGTAAATCTGTTGAAACTAATTTGTTGTCTTTTTTAGAAAAAGCAAAAAGCTTAGAGTTGAATATGTTGACATTGAAATTTCGGTTGAGGTTATGAATATTATTATTATTGTTGTTGTTGTATTGTTCCTGCAGGAAAGTAACGGAGATGGATGGTTTGTTATCGTTGGCATCAGCAACTCTGATGATGAGTTCAACCTCGCTCGTCAGAGGGTCAGAGCCACGATCACGTGCTAGGACGCGTAGTTGGTAAATAGACGTCTGCAAATTTTTAAACTCTTTGATAACAAATTTAGAAGGAACGACGTTTAATTATGATATTTTTTTCTATAAATACTTTCAGTGCATTGTAGTTCAAAGTTTTATGCAGAAAACTTTAACAGATGAAAATAAATTTTAAATACGAAAGAGTATTTTTTATTTTTTCCAGACAATGCAATTTTAAAACATGGATGGGATGTTGTTTAGAGCACAAAAATTTTAACTATTTTCTTTTTCATCGATGACAGTTGTACTGATGAGACTTAAAAAGTTAATATGGAAACGTTTCTATTCAGCATTAGTTTATCTCAAATTTGAAATAATGAAAAAACTCAGGTGCACATTAAATAGGAGACTTATTGCTACACCTAATGAAACGCGTCTCCACCGAGTCTAATATTTTTACGTGATTCTCTATATTTTAATTTTAATTAACTCAAAAAATGTAAAAAGTTTTTATCTGCACGTTAAGTTCTTTCACTAAGTCTTTTGCATTCCTGTAAAATAATAGTTGTTAAATCACAAAAATTCAAATGGAAAGTCAAATGTACTTAAATTGAGAAAAAGATGCAAAACTTCGGCAGCAAACTTTATCATTAAAAAATTTAGACAATTTAACTTTTTTTGCAATATGAGCCATTACAAATTTCATACTTTATTTAGTGACCATTTTGTTTTGACAGCAATGCATAACCAATGTAGTCGAAAATAAATTAGTGAATAAATGCATATTTATGAAATATAACAAAATTTTTAAATAATAAAATGAGCAGAACATTTAACAATTTATCCAACCACTTTTAAGTAAATAAGCACTTTATTAAAACGTCGCATTGAACAAATGTAATTAAACAAAAATTAAAGAACGGAACATTTGATTTATATATTTAGACCTGAAACCAAATAAACTCAAAAAATTAAAAAAAAAACAAGAGCATATGCCACAAAAAATCATTGCCAACATATTGTTATAACCGACCCCTTAAACTTGTTGGGTATGGTTATTTCTCTTGTTGTGCAATCTTGACTCCTAAGCTGTCTTATTTCAAATGGCTTTGTTAGAAAGAAAACAGTGCTGGCAATCACTTGTGTCTCCTCGTGTTATTGTTCGTGTTATTTTCGTCCTTTGTCGGTCTATTTATACAGCTTTCTTTTAAAATGCATAGACATTTTATAATACGCGTACCATAAAGAAGTATTGTCATAATTATGGAGCGCTGTATTTATAACAATATTTTTGAATTAATTCAACACAACCACCTTTTCTCGATCCAATTTAGCGGTCAGAACAACTTGTCCAGTGTGGTTGTTGACGCTAATGAGCATATCGTGTGGCTGATGGTGTGACGAGTCCCCAACGAGCAAATATTCTATCTTAAAAATTATCGGTATATGTTATTGTATTATATGTTAGTGTATTATATACTTCCATATTATAAACTATTCTGTTATATATTATTGCTACTAAGCATAGTTTTCTTAAATGTTGATGTTTGCATATGTGATATTTTCGTTTTGAAGATAATAGTTGTAAATTTAACCGCTTTAGCTTAGATAGTTTAAACAAGTTTAAAAAAAGATTCTTTTGGAAAACCACGTACGTGCATGTAGCTACATAAAATTTTACTTTTGTCTCGGCACTTAGGTTTCATTTTGAAATGGCAACTTATTTTAGCTGGATATTATGTTGTAACTTTATGTATTTACGCTTGTACGCTAATTAATTCGTGACTTGTCATCAGAAATGAGCAAGCCTGAAAGATTTCACCATAATTGGAGGATGGGAAGCTATTACAAGATGATTTTAGCTGCAAGTTCAAATTGCCATGTGAAGTTACATACATATGCATGATAATAAAAGTACAAATCTATATATGTTTATATATACATGAACATTTAACCAATAATTTTTTCTTATCTATATTATAATCGTAATTGTTTAACAAAGTATTAATTTAGAAACTTATTTAGATTTAATCGTTGATTTTATTTTTTGGAGAAAATAAGCAGATGGATTTTATGCAAATGAACAAAATATTAGATAGTTAATTTGTTGAATTAATTTTGTTTACATAACATTTAAAGGCTTTTTTTACATAATTTACGCCATAAAATTTTCACAAACATCGTTTTTGAGAATGAGAATGCAACTGAGTAAACAAATGTCGCTCATTCGTCAATCGGTTACGTTTTAACGTTGTTGGTTCAGAGTTAATCAACGTTCTACAGCTAACTAAAAAAATTTTAAATGTGCTAGTGATGGATTGATAGGAATCAACTGTCCATAAACTAATTAAAGCTTTGTACATTGAAACACATGTCTCGGTTAAAAAGATAAATGTTTGTTTTTAAAGAAGTGAAGTTTTTTGAGTGAATGAAAAAAATTAACTAAAACATCAATCACGAATGCATGTATAACATTTAGAAAACAATAACATTAACACGAAACACAACTGCAGTGTAACCTGATTTAACAGATTAGCAACACCAAAAAGAATGAAATTTGAAACACAACCTGCCCGTTCAGACCGTCGTCGGCATCGGTGGCGGACACCTTCAGCACTACCGAGTTGACGGGGGTATCCTCTGATACGGTTATATCATACTTGGATTGATCAAAGACAGGTTTGTTGTCGTTGTGGTCTGCCACAATGATGTCAATGACGATGCTGCCCGTGAGTGAGGACAATCCCTCCACCGCATGTGTTCCTCCGTCGATAGCTCGCAACACTACTTGGTACCTGGCACAATTTGATTTGTAAAAGTCTATTCACTAGTTAAAGTTATATTCATGAATGTATTATTTTTTGTCTAATTTGGTTTCATAAAAGAAAATATTAGGTGTAAAATATTTTCCAATTGAAAGTGACATGAGTCATTTTTAGTTTCTCACCTTGCTTCCAGTTCTCTGTCAAGAACAGATCTCAAGACCAGTTTGGCTTCCAATTGTAATGATGGTGACGTGGAAAACACGAGTCCCAACTTTTCAGTTCCTGACTCGATTTCATAACGTTGGATGCCATACTTTGGTGAGTCGTCATCGACTGCTGCTGGCAAGAGGTAGGAGGAGCCGATTGGTGATGCTTCGTTGATTGACAAGAGGATGTGCGACTCCCGGAAAGTTGGAGCGTTATCGTTCAGATCTAACAACTCCACTCTTACCTGTTACGTGTCACATTTCAAAAACCAGGCCATTCAGATTTCAACGTATTAACCTTAATTGTAACATTCACGTACAAAAATTTGAAAACTTGCGTAAACATTTTTTTGTCAATATAAAGTAAATAAACGGTATTAGTTTGGCTAAAAATTAAAAGCTTAATGAATATATTAATAAATTACCTTGATAATCTGAAAATATTCCACAGGTTGAACGACCACATCCAGACTCAACATGCAAGTTTCTTTCCTTCGACACAACTCAGCGCAGTCCCTATCAAGCCTCACGTCCGAGGTACTCAGCACACCGGTCTTGTTGTCCACTCGAAAAAACTTGGCTACTACGGAATCAGCGCGAAGGAAGTAATAATTCAGTCTGCCTAGTGTATGTTTGTCGTACATTGAGGTGATGTTGGCGTCCTCAGCCAGTCTGCCCACCGTCGTGTTGAAAGGAAGTTCCTCGTAAAGGTCGTACTTAATCGTGTTGCTGTCGCGAGCGGCTGATGCTGATCGCTGTCGCTGGTCCAACAGAAATGTTTGCGCCACGACGATGATGATTTTTTGAAGTGTGACCATGTTGAAAAAAAAGGAGGCTGCCGGGTGATCTTTTTGTGATTTTACATTTCGTACAGAAAATTAGTTTAGAAAATTTTCACGATGGAGCATTAGGTGAGTAAGTCAAACTTTGTCATGGAAAGCACAAGGACACTAGTTTCGTTCAGACGAGTGTGCGGTGGCAATCTAGGTAGGACGAGCGACACTTTTGTTGGAATCGGTCATTAATCATGCGAATACGCGAGTCGAGGGATCGCTAAAATGAGTCATGCAACGGTTTACCGATTATCCGTTCCGTAACATGAACCTGTCCGAACGACGTTATTCTGGGATAGAAAAGTTAAATTACTGTCTGAAAAATAATTTATTTTATAAAATTCAATCTTATAATATAAATTGGACAAAATTAATTGTAACTATGTTTATTGAAAAATATACACATAAGCCAATATTTATTTGATGTTGGGTCTTTAAATAGAATGTAATTTTTTTCATTAAATATGATGAACAGAATGAAAAGAAATATAAACATTACAAATGATCGATTGTATTGTACAACACCAGCCATAAGAACATGTAAAAATGGCATGATGTAAATGTTTGTCTTCCTAGAAGCATCAAATAATTCTTCGAGATCATATAATGAAACTAGCGTGAGCTAACGTAAACAAGCCCATGTAGCAAGCAATAGCAAGCAACTCAGGTGCCATATATTTGCAAACCAACCACAATAATGTTTACCCTGCTTCAATATTTGTGTGTAGTTAACGAATGTTTGTTTGTTGTTATCACAATGGCATCCGTGATGCGATAACAACCTCTGTTAAAAACATTAGTGGACATTAAACGTTATGTTTGCCTCGCGTACGTTTTTACTCTACACATTTTATTCTCATAAATTTTTTACTTTACTATGTCGTAGCATTATTTGAAGGTGTGTAAATAAACATTTGTTGCCAATATATGCTCAGCTCTAGTTATAATATCAAAATATTTCCTCTGCCGTTTTGTTTGTTCATCCTCTTGAAATGTTCACCACAGCGGTGTCAGCGCTCCACTACATGCCTCCCCAGCTAGTATCAACGCTCTGATTAATGGTCGTTGCTCTCCAAAACTGCTTTATATTTTGGGAAATATATCAAGTGTTTTCAAATTAAATTTAATCTTTCATACGTGTTCCCTGGCCACATTTTCAAAAGAAACACGATTTTTTTTATTTTTGCTTTTTTCACATTTATACATTTTTTAGCAAGGGCAACTGAAAACACAAAAAATAAATTTTACCGTTACAGTTGAACTTCAAGATAAGATATTTTTATGAATAAATTATAAGATCCTTGCATTCATTTGCAGATTGCACCCGGCCGGTTACACAATGGCCAAACGTTTAATGTAAATCTGCGAGATTAATTGCTATTTAATTAACAGCGTGGATAAATTAGATATTGCACAATTCTTAACGGACACAGAAAATTTAGATCTTGAAACTCAGGAAAATTCCGAGAACACATCGAAAACATCACCACGTGCTGGAAACAAGAACGATATGTTCTTCAAATTAGTTAATCTAACAATTCTGTTGAATTCATCGAATTTTACGATTAAAACAAAATACGTTGCAGCAAATCTGAAAAAAATACATACTCGACGCCAGCGTCGAATATTTTATCGATTCCGTCAGCGGAAAACTAGGTAAAATGGAGAGGCGGATCACCGATTCCATCACCAACAAACTAGATAAAAATTCGCTGCAGGAGATGAAAGCTAGAAAAATTCTTAGCAAAACCTCACAGCTCATCAATACTAGAACCAACTCCATTCTATTTGAGTTATGATGTAGCAACTGCAAAATTGTCTAATTCATCAGCTACTCAACATCACAACTGGGCAGAGGCAATGGAATATAGCTACAACCTACCTAACCCAACCTTACCTTAATCGATCTTCAGTTAGGTACAAAGGATTCAAAATCAACACCGTCGTCAACATAAACTTTTGAAAAACCAAGTACCAGAGGACCACCCTTGCAGTTGGTTTTTGAAGATATTTTTGAAACATCTACGCTGCACAGCGAAGTCATTTTTCGAAACTCAAAAAACTTCTGAAAAATAGACATGAAAGCAATCATTTTATAATAAAATCTATTCCATGCATCTTGATGAATCAATTAGCTATTTTACGTATGTTTACACTACTTCAATATAAAAATGACCATCATATTTAATACGACCGATATTTAACGAAATGTTTTGATCGGAATCGTTTCCATCATTTTACTAAATTTTTCTGTTATTTATTTGTAACCATTACGTCAACTTTTCCTTATTTACACGGACAGCTTTGTTTTTTATTGAAATACACAAGTACTTTCTCTGTTTTTGTACACTATTTCAAATTTTAACGAACCCGTATCCATTTTAAAATGCTATTTTTCCATTTCATATAAGTTTAATAAATAATTTGTTTTAAAAAAATAGCTTTATCAAGCGAAAGGTTTAAAGTGGAGAATGACAAGAACACGAATGGAACTAAATAATTTTTGAAGAAAAGGAAAGCAAATAAGACGCGGTCTGGAAAGACTTATAAGTCTGTGTGTATGTGCGTAAATTTAGGAAATTCAAAGAGATTATCGTCATTATCGTCAATTGGTCAATATTTATTGATACCAAAATTTAGGAAAAGTGACTGCTGAAAAGAAGTTTGTTGAATGGTATTTGCTTTTAAATAAACTTATAAAATTGAAAAGTTAGTAATCAAATGAGAAAAAGAAAAAGAGAGAGAAAGAAAAAGAGAGAGAGAAAAAGAGAGAGAGAGAAAGAAAAGAAAAAAAGAATGAAAAGAAAAAATCAATCCAGATAAAAATCAGTGGCTTACTTTTGAAATCGATCATTAATTTCCGGCCAACAATTCGCAAAACTTTTTTGTTTGAAAAGATTGAAATGATCTAAATTAGAACTTTTTTTTAATAGAATAAATTACTCTTGGTAGTTACATGTAACAAAAACACGAACAGTTTTCTAAAAACACCTCTACTCTGAAACTAAAAAATGTCTGAAGTTCTTTAAATACTTGTCATCCGGTGTTGTAAAAAAACTGTTCAAGTTAATAAATGAGTTTTCAATTAATTTACTTCAATAGCTTCAAAAAATAAAATTATTTGAGACAACAAATTAACACCGATGATGTATTTAAATGACTGACGGAAAATGAATTTATCTATTTGAAGAAAATTTAATTCCACGAAATATCTGTTGGGCTTCTGTCAACATAAAAATATTTATTTTAAATGTTTATTCAAGTCACAAAGACCTTAATAAGCATAACGCCCGCCATCTTTTATAATAGAAATTATATGATAAAAAATAAATTAATAACAAAATATTGATAAAATATGTGGTATGTTGAAAAAATTTTCCTGATTGTGTTATAGTAGGGAAGTGATTGGATTAGAAAGCATTCAGCCGACACACGTGTGGGCACCTGATGAAATGCTTACAGATTTGTTCCTCTTGGCACTTGTACTCTTCGTCCTTCAACACTGACCGTCATGTTTACAATGCATAATTGCTTTTCAAAACAAACAATTTTTTCAGCTGTTTGTGTGTCTGTCAATGAATGCCTGGCTGCATGGTTGCATTGAGATGCATTCATAAATATGCACTACATGCAATGAATTCATTTCCATGCACCATATACAATGCATTCTACATAAACAACACTATCTGCAAGCATACGCACGCACACACATACAAATCTGCATTCACGCTGTTATAGCTTATTCATAAATCCACATAAATAATTATTTTTTTGTATATACATCCGATAAATTTGTTTACCTAAATATAAATAACATAACATAAATGTTATTCAAATTTTTGTTTGGCTACCCCATCAGGTTGAAATCTTAGTTGTGAAAAAACAAAATCATGCAAACTCACAGACCTATATAAATTTATCAAACCACAAATAAAAGCTAGCTTGGTACGTACCTTAAAAAAACTCCCAAACGTGCAAACAGTTTGTTGTGTTCATGTGTAACAAGAATGTTTGGAGATTTTCTACAGGCTTGCGTTCATGCAATCAAGAAGCAGAGATTAGTTATGAAATATGCCAGAGAGAGCTTGATTGGGAAGAATTATTTTTAATTATCTCATCTCGCTTCAAAACAAAGTAGTCTGGTTATTTAAACATAATATATATATTCTACAGAATTGTTGGCATTAATCTATTTAAAGTTCGTCTTTACAATTTTTCTTACTAGAATTTTCTGGAAATTGTTCTATTTTTTTAAAATAAAATTCTATTTTCAACTCTACTCTTACTAATAAAGCATGTGTTACATGTTGTGTATGTGTGTGGCATGTCCAGTGTGTGTGTGTTTGTCTGTGTGTGTTTGTGTGTGTGTGTCTGCGTGTGTGTCTGTGTTGCAAGTGGTTAACCCAAACTCTCACATGCTGGCGTATGTTGTTTCATATATCATCGTCTATTCATTAGACAAAAGTTATAATTCTTTGCCGTCAAACGTCGAGAGATCATTTCGGCAAAAATATTTTTCAATTATCGTCCACACATCATCTTTGGGTATTTATTTTCTTTTACAAACATTTTTTCATAACGAATTAAAATGATTCCGCTTTGTTTGATTTAAATTTTTGGTATGAAAATAAAAAATGTTAAATTTTTAGAAACTTTAGTTTGTGGTGTTAATTTTTTAGCAGTCAGTCATTTGCTTTATACTTGAAAAATGCTAAAAACCAATATTTCCAAACTTGGGGGTGGAAAATGTCACTCTAGAGGGGTGCAATAGGGCCTTACGCGTAAGGGTGAAAGTGGAAATTGTTGTAAAAACGGCATGTAGGAATGGAAAAGCATTGCACAAAGTCGTAAAGTATAAGAAAAAATGAGGAATGTAAATGAATGGTTGATAGAAGAACCAAAAAAAGTCATAAACTGTTATTTTAATGGGGCATAAATATTTTTTAATCGTGTTTTGGGAGGGCAGCGAAAAAAGTTTGAGCAAC